CGTGCCTGGGAGTGATGCGGCTTCTCTGAGGGGGGCGGGTGGTTCCCGCGCATCGCGGAGCCCTCAGCCCCGCTCTCTGTCTGTATCTATTAAAATATGCGCATATGTGTACATATATATAGATATATATAGGTATATATACGTATTTAAGTCGAGTTTGTGTATCTCTGTCTCCTCTGAGTGCCTCTCTGTCAGCACTGGGTACTGAAGTTCCTCTCTTCGTGGTGCGTTACCCCCTCAGGTGCCCGCGATGCACTAAAAAATACCTGTTCTGAGGTAAATTTAAAACCCTGGGGTCTCTTTCCTCTCAGGGGGTTCTTTAGATGTTTTCCTGTGGAGTTCGGAAAAACTGAAGTTTATAAATAATACCCTGAATGTTCTTAAATTAAAATAATCCCCTTAGGGTTAGGTTTTCCACATACCCTCAGCATTTGGGTATGTGTTCCCATGTCAGTTCTCAGCTCACCATAAAATGATTTAAAATAATGGCAAGTTACAGAAAAAACTTGACGCTGGTCTATGTGTATTTTGTTTTTGTTTTTTTTTTAAGTGTCCGCAGGAAATGTGTGTGTTTTTAAATCATTTTATTTAAAGTTTCATAATAAATACTTCTGTGGGGTTTTCCCAGCTGGGAATGCAGAAATCAAACAGAGAATTTATATTTGTCACCTCTGGTTTAACATGAGTTTTCTTCGAAGTCAGCAGGCTGGGACATTTCTGGAGCTTACAGGAGAGCTGGGCTCCATTGGCATTATAGAGTGCAGATTTTTTCCAATATTTACCTATTTTTGGGCAACTTTTAAGTGCTGCCTCAACCTCCCCCCGGCCACGTACCCCCCTCAACTCTTAGGACAATTTCAAGATGCTCCACATCACAACTTCACCCCAATTAAACCTCAAAAAAAGCACATTCAAGAAGACAAACCAGTCGTGTTCACCCTCCCAGAATACAATCTTGGAAAGAAAACCTAAAAAGCCAAAAATTATTCAGGGTCAAGGGTTTGTTTGGGGTTTTTTTTTTCACATTTTGAGGTGATGCTCAGAAATAAACCAGAAAGCGCAGGTGAAAACCTCCCCCAAGGAAAATGCAAGGCTTCCATTTGAGTGAACACAGTGATTTTTTTTTTTTCATTGTTATTTTTAAAGGGGAGTTGATTAATTGGGTGGGGAATGAGAAAATCATTCATTTTGGGGTAAGATCAAATTAAATTCTCCATCTTATCTTTCAGCTCAGCCCCCGTTATCCATCCAGTCCCCATGATGTACCATGGGGTAAATAAAGGGAAGAAAAAAATCAAATTTCAAGCAGTGAACATCCCAGCCTTGACCCCACCAAGCAAGGTTTGGAGCATTTCCAGGTGTATCTTCCCTCCTGGACATCGTTTCTCCTGCTCGTGCTCAAGCCACACGGCTCAAGAGATTATTTCTTTGAAGAAAGAGGTTTGTGCGCGTGTCCCGGGCACATCCCTGACTCTTCCACCTTGATTATCCCAAGGGAAGGTTAAGGATTGAAGTGGCTTTTGGAGAAACGAGGCCAGGGGAGCACAGAAGGTCTTTTGTGTCCCAGGGTGAGGAGCTGGGATGATGCTTTCTGCCAAACGAAGACGATTCCCATCGCTCCTGCGCTGCTCCCTGTGCACAAATGAGTTTCTTAAAAAAGCACATGAGAAATGAGCTCAAACGCTCGTCCCAGAGCGTGGGGACACCCACGGGTCACACAGCCACGGGGAGTGGGGTGGTGACAGAAACCCCCCAGCACCTCCTGCACCCGCTGGCATGTAGACAGGGAGCATTGGGATGGTTGTTTCTGCCCCTTCCCCTTATATTTACCCCCTGCTTGCACCCTCGTGGTGTTTCCAGCGCTACTGCAAGAAGGGAAGAAAAGAGGGAGAAGGTGGAGGGAGGTTGAAGCTTTGCTGGGAGCCCATCACCATCAGGGCTGGGGTGAACTGCTGAGTTAATTAACGATGTCAAAAACTAGCTGGAAACAACAACAACAACAAAAAACCAACTTCCAAACCAAAAGCAAAAGCAAAAGCAAATCCTCGCATGGCTGGCAGAGAGGGAGAGGGCAGGAGGGTGAGAGGAGGGGCAGACAGGAAAGCTTCAAATTAGATCGAAATCTAAGGAGCTAATGCTAGCAATAGGAGCTCTCCAGAAATTAAAGCTGTTGAACTGCAGCAGATTGTCCTCTTCGTCGTCAGAGATGTCCTGGCCCATCCGATCCCGCTCGCCAGCCAGCTTGCCCAGCCCTCCTTTGGGTTTGTAGAGAGCCACATCGCTGAGCCCCAGCCCCTCCAGCTCCGCCACATCCAGCTGCGGGATCGGCATCCTCCAGTAGATGAAGGAATCATACTGGCTGCTGATGGTGTCCAGCATTTTCGGGCTGTGAAAGGGATGAGGGGGAGAGAAAAGGAGGAGAAAAGCTCTACCAAAGGCACAGGAGTTGCCCCAAAATGGTTGAAATTCTCAGATGTTGCCAACATTGACCAAATCCCGCAGGATATCCTCCCAAAAACACCCAACCCGATGGGGCAGGAGAGCGTGGTGTCATGGAGGTTTGACTCTAGGCTGGGTCTAAACGCAGATCTGAGCCCTGCCACTGGTTTTATCCACGGCCTTGGTCACGGTCCTTCTCTGAGCTGTAATTTAGAGGGGTGCGCAATGGGACTTGTTGCCTCGTGCCTCAGTTTCCCCATCCACACAAAGGAGAACATGGGAAGGAAGGGGTGGGGGTTAACCCCATCCCAACCACATCTCATGACATCTCCCAGCTGTACCCCGCATCCCGCTCTGCCAGGAGGGACAGAAACCAGGATCCAAATGAACCAAAGGAACCCTTTTTTCCCCCAACCCTGGCAGAAGGGTTTTACCCTTTCCCTGTGCCGAGCCCCCCATGGAGCGGGCAGCAAGGGGGGGTCCCTGCGATCCCCCCACTGCCATCCCTCCCTCCCTGCGGCGTGGCATCGCCCCTGGGGACCACGACCAAACCCTCTAGAAGGGGTTGTGTGCCATGCCATGCCATGCCGTGCCATGCCACCATGCTGTGCCATCCCACCATGCCGCAGAGCCCCTCCCAAACCCCACCCAAATCCACGGAGAATTGGGAAAAAATGGGAGGGGACATGGTTCAGCTTTTTTCTCCGGCCTGAGCTGAGTCACCGCTGCGCCAGCGTGCTTTTCCCTGGCAGAATTATGTCATTCACCTTCCCCACGTTTAGCAACAGAGGTGGAGGGGAATTTAACCAGCCAACCCCAAATACCCTCTGATTCCTCCGTTTTAAAGCCCTGGAAATCCCAATCCTAAAGGATGATTCAGACATAACCTGGAATCACACCCTCCCTCACTCCCCATCTGTGCCATGAGGGGTGACCAGCGGCTAAATTTAA